AAACTGGAACTAGAAGAATGAAGACTGGAACTAGAAGAATGAAGACTGGAACTAGAAGAATGAACTGGAACTAGAAGAATGAAGACTGGAACTAGAAGAATGAACTGGAACTTGAAGAATGAAGACTGGAACTAGAAGAATGAACTGGAACTAGAAGAATGAAGACTGGAACTTGAAGAATGAACTGGAGCTTGAAGAATGAAGACTGGAACTAGAAGAATAATGAACTGTAACTTGTAGAATGAACTGGAACTAGAAGAATAATGAACTGTAACTTGTAGAATGAAGACTGGAACTAGTAGAATAATGAACTGTAACTTGTAGAATGAAGACTGGAACTAGAAGAATAATGAACTGTAACTTGTAGAATGAAGACTGGAACTAGAAGAATAATGAACTGGAACTTGTAGAATGAAGACTGGAACTAGAAGAATGATGAACTGGAACTTGAAGAATGAAGACTGGAACTAGAAGAATAATGAACTGGAACTTGAAGAATGAACTGGAACTTGAAGAATAAACTGGAACTTGAAGATTAAACTGGATCTAGAAGAATAAACTGGAACTAAAAGAATGAAGACTGGAACTTGAAGAATGAAGACTGGAACTTGTAGAATGAACTGGAACTTGGAGAATGAAACAGGAACTTGAAGAATGAAACTGGAACTTGAAGAATAAACTGGACTTGATGAATGAACTGGAACTTGAAGAAATGAAGACTGGAACTAAAAGAATGAACTGGAACTTGAAGAATGAAGACTGGAACTAGAAGAATAAACTGGAACCAGAAGAATGAATACTGGAACTTGTAGAATGAAGACTGGAACTTGTAGAATTTAGACTGGAACTTGAAGAATGAACACTAGAACTTGTAGAATAAACTGGAACTTGTAGAATAAACTGGAACTTGTAGAATAAACTGGAACCAGAAGAATGAAGACTGGAACTAAAAGAATGAACTGGAACTTGTAGAATAAACTGGAATTTGTAGAATAAACTGGAACTAGAAGAAACTGGAACTAGAAGAATGAACTGGAACAAAAAGAATAAACTGGAACTTGAAGAATGAACTGGGACTTGGAGAATGAACTGGAACTAGAAGAATTAACTGGAAATAGAGGGTATATTCCAGACGGACAGACTTGGTCTAACCTTACCTACCCTCAAATTCCATCAGTTTTTAAAATCATATCACGTTTTTCAAATGATACCCTAGGTGGATTAATCGGGCCGTCGGAACATAAAATGTCCAGCCCTAACCACCGGAACAATAGAGATATCTTAGATATACAGTACTAACTTGATGTAGACATTTTCAATTTTTTAATTACGTTTTCAAATGATACCCTAGGTGGACTAAGCGGGCTGTCGGAACATAAAATGCCCAGCCCTAACCACCGGAACATTAGAGATATTTTGAAATAAGAGTACTTACTTTACACAAATTCAAAGTATTCAATCACATTGTTCAAATCATACCTGGTTTCTATAAAAATCGTTTCTAACTTAATGTATATTCCAGACGGACAGACTTGGTCTAAACTTAACTGCACTGCAACAAGATATGCTTAGACTGGCGGACAGACAGATTCCATCTCGGCAGGGCAGGGACGATGATCCCCAGTGGGATTTCTTCTTGCCTACCCTCAAGTTCCATCAGTATTTAAAATAATATCACGTTTTTAATATTATACCCTAGGTGGACTAATCGGGCCGTCGGAACATAAAATGTCCAGCCCTAACCACTGGAACATCAGAGATATTTTAGATATAGAGTACTAACTTGATGTAGACATTTTCAAATTTTCAATTACGTTTTTAGAATGATACCCTAGGTGGACTAAGCGGGCCGTCGGAACATAAAATGTCCAGCCCTAACCACTGGAACATTAGAGATATGTTAGATATAGAGTACTAACTTGATGTAGACATTTTCAAATTTTGAATAACGTTTTCAGAATAATACCCTAGGTGGACTAAGCGGGCCGTCGGAACATAAATTGTCCAGCCCTAACCACCGGAACAGTAGAGATATTCTGATATAAGAGAACTTACTTTAAAACAATTTCAAAGTTTTCCATCACTTTGTTCAAATCATACCTGGTTTCTATAAAGATCGTTTTTAATTTAAGTTATATTCCAACGAATAGACTTGGTCTAAACTTACTGGCACTACAACAAGATACGGCACGACTCACGTATGGATTCCATCTCGGCAGGGCAGGGCAGGGACGATGGCCTCCCTGTGGGATTTCTCCTTGCCTACCCTCTACCCTCAGGTTCTATCATGTCACATTTTTCAAATCATACCCTAGGTGGTATACCAGCAGTTTTCAACATGATTTAAAATCATATCAGGTTCTTAAAAATCTTTTGGGTTGTTATAAAACTGTATTGTAAAATCGCACAGGTTTAATCTAACCTTCGTAAAAATCATCCCAGGTTTGACTCTATTCCTGGTTTTAGTCCAGAGGTGTGGACATCAACATAGTAACCGACTGATACTCGTTCGGTTGTGTTTCATTGAAATACATGCCGAAAACCGGCCTTATTTAAAGTACCATCTGAGACTGACAGACTTGGTCTAAACGACCGCCAGTGCAATAAGATACGCCCGGACGGACGGATTCCAGAACGGACGGGGCATGGGACCTGCTGCATGGAGGGAGAAAAACAACAGGAGCCCTGAGGATCACTCTTTATGGCTTTATACCCAGTTTCAATCGAGGGAGGGCCGACTTTCAGCAAATCACGAAATAGCCAAAAGGAAAAGGGGGTGCACGCGAGGCCCTGCCTAACAGTGTTAGGCTATTTCGGGGTTTGAAAGAGCCTAGCCGAACGACAATCGAAACTGAGAAAGCAGAGTCTGATACTAAAAACCCCCGATTACCAGACAGAAACTTAGATTTCGTTGAATTCCTCTTCATCTGTGTATCTCGTCCCACATGGTTAATAAATCCAAAAATAAACCTCGTGGCATCACAAGTTCTACTCACGCATTTATATGATACAATACACAATACCTATCCTAACACTTAACTATGGTGTCAAGAGGTTCTATTTTCATTAAAAGACCAATGGGTACAAGAGTGGTCGTCGTCTAAAACGCGCCGATACATTACCAGTCAATTGGCAAATATGCCAACAAACAACCAACCTACAGCAGCAGCATATAGAGGCAGGATGGGTCTGCAGAATGTCCCACTGGATATCTGCAGATTATATCCTTCCCTGTGCAAACCTACTAATTCAAATATTATCAAATTCTTTGAAAAATATCTCTAATTTTAGGGCTTTATTTAGGAGTCGAGTTGAATTTGGAAATTTCAAAAAAGCTAATGCATTAATTTGGATATAATTTATATCACCAATGAGTCATTCTAGATAAAGTAAGGGATCGATTTTACGTGAGTTTCGAAATGTCTTGATCGGAGGAAACCCTATAGTGCTTTTAAAAATTTTTGAAAAAATCTGGTATTCATATCCAACCATAATCACTTTCTGAAAAGAGAAAATAAAAAAATATTCAGAAACCAACAATCAAGATTGGTTTGACGGATGGCTAACGTGTCCTGGCAAGCATTTGGGAAAGTGGACAGCCTATCATGCTTTCTTTAAGGACAAATGGGAGAAAAATAACCACACTTTACCAATTTCAGTCGCCAAAGTGGAACTTCAGATTGGCGACAAATTTTGGCATATTTTGGAAAATATTTACACATTATCCCTGTCAAATTCAAAAAAATACATCACGTGAGAAGCGAACGACTTTATCGAACTTGTTTTTCGACTGCAGTAAGCACAATCGTAAAACAAATATCGATATATGTGGTTTAATGTAGTATATTCATGTAATGCATGTGTAAAGGGATACTTTCACAAAACATTCAGCACAGATAGAGCGTTGTATCCCTTTAAGTTGAAGTGTTGGGGAGCGGGGAGGGAACCTGCTGAATGTAGTGATGCACAAGAAAAAAAAAGAAGGTTAGTGCCCTATTGGTTAACTCACAACTCTTAATGTAAAGTTTGGTTTGCTTCTCTGTTTGTCCTTGTTGTTTACCATCATAATTTCGTTGGACCTAAAAATGAACACAAGTATTAAGCACAGTGTTTTGGGGGCTTTTATTTTATTAAAAAACTGACTTACAGTTCGGATTGATCAGGATAGATAGTTCATTATTGATGGGCAGGGGGAATATAAATTCAAATCACTATTTTCTACATCAATTGAAAATTACATTTAAATAGGATCACTTTGAAATGAGGACAAGATTACAGACTAGCCCCTAGAGGAGATTAAAGGGAAGGAACTATTTTTTTCATCTAACAGTGTTGTTAAAATAATTTAACTATATACAAGACTGTATATTGAATAAATGTTATTTATTAAATTGATTGTAAAGATATTTTTATAACTTTTTATGTGAATCGGAGTCACTGATATTATCAATTTGCACCATTCCAATTAGTGTCTTGTAGTAAGCCTATATAAATAGATTTTCAAAAGGATTTAACTCACCATCTATCAAGTTGTTGGCCAAAAATTATAGATCTTGTAACTATTGTTCCATGAGCTTAAGATGTCCCTTAATACCTAAAAAGAATATGAAAAACTGTTAAAAATTTAAACTTAAAACATAACTTAACAGAATCGCAGAATAGTACCACCCCTCCCCCCCCCCACCCCC